CTTCCCGAATGACATCCTACCAAACCTGGGCCTAATCGCCAAACACCATTTCATTCACTTGTTATAAACTGTCATCATTATGTTTCATTTATATAATGTGACCCGATAATAAACATGTATTTCATACATCACGTCTCTCCTGATTGAAATGAAGCTCAGCGCAAGTTCAGGCAGGAAGACCTATCACTTCGTATTGCACGTCATGGCAATACTCGCTCCCTTCACTAAATGATGGGGAGCGCCACTCCTCAAGCTAACATATCACTTCCCTCCATTCACAAGCCTAATTATCGCACCTGTTAATCCCTCCATATATGCTCCCCCCTTTTCCATCAGCTGTCTTCCAGGTGTCAACGCGCAACCCTCCTCCACCCCTTCGCCTCCTGCTTCCAACTCAGGGCCAAGCTCAACCTTCTCCCTTCCAACCGGACCTAACCACTTATCACCACCACCAGTGTCTAGACCCGGGGGGGTTCATCGGAAACGGTTCTTCCCTTCCCGAATGACATCCTACCAAACCTGGGCCTAATCGCCAAACACCATTTCATTCACTTGTTATAAACTGTCATCATTATGTTTCATTTATATAATGTGACCCGATAATAAACATGTATTTCATACATCACGTCTCTCCTGATTGAAATTGGTTTGGTTAATAGAATGCCAGAAGCAGAAATAACCAGCTCAGCTGCTGTTCATTACATTACATGTCCCTTGCTTGCATTGAAAAATATTAAATGTTTCTCAAATTTAGATTTTCCAATATGGAGTTAAACCTGGTTTAAGAGTCACCATGACATCATGGTTTGCACGCTGCAGCTGGGAATTGAGAACCTGGTATTTCCTAAAAATTCTTGCCAACATTTGCACTCAAGAAACATCAAATTCTCATCAGGACAACCACACAAATGCTTTTGTGTATACAACAAGCCAAATGTTTCTTCCATTTACCTTTCATGCTGAAATAACCGACTGTGAAGTGTTTTACTTCCAGAAAAACATTAGTGTAACTTAATGCTACATTTAAAATAGTTTCATGTACCGCTGTTAGACCTTTACTAATAGGGGAATAAAGCTGTTATATGTGCTCTTCAGAGCCACTAAAATTAAAAAACAAAAACCTTTTAGCTTATACAGTATCTCAGGATAAAGTGAGAACTTCAGTCCTCTGGGAGGGACTCGGAGAACAAACCTTTCTCTAATCCTGAGAAAAGCATCTGCATGGCCGTTTACACAGCCATATAGCCCCTTATATTTCAATAATATTAAGTTAATTAAACTAAAATGATTGCATTCAACCAACCTAAGGCCCCGTCCACACGGACACGAAAACGGGGTCCGAGGTCGATGTCAAAATAGACGCTGTAGTACATATGCTGGGCCTGTAAGTGGCGCTGTACTTCTGCCACAAAATACACAAAAAGCAGCAAAGAACACCGATGACGATTATTATAATTATATTATTATTGTTGCTGATGGTTGTGGTAGAGGAGCTGTACATTTTGCACTAAAATCTGTATCATGGTCAGTAGCATCTGGAGCACGAACGCAACCCTGTGATCCGCCATTGTTGTTGTTGTTGGCGAAGCGCATCAGCAATGACGCGGGGGTGAGCAGGAGAGGTGGGGAGTGGCGGGGCTATGGCGTCATCGTTTCAGGAAATGATCATTTAGGGTGTACACGATGCCGCAAGCATTACGTTACCAGACCTTCCCACTTTGGGATACGTTATCGTTTGAGGGCTCCGTTTCCGCGGTTCCGTTACGGCCTTGTGTGGACAAACCGTCCATACGATAAATGGGGCGAAGCCTGCGAGCTAGTTCAGGCAGTCAACTCGAGCACTTATGCTGCATTCATACATAACGCCCCTTGCCACTCTTCAACCAACCAAACAGAGTCTCCTTAATATGCCGCTCTATTTAACCTGCCAGATCTCTCTCTATGCATTGCTTGCTGCTGCTGTTGCTGCAGCTACTTCCACGTCGCTGCTGCTTGCCTGCTGCGTTCACTTGCTATTGCTACGTTCATGTTCCTGCTGCTGTGTTTCATGTTGCTGCTGCTTGCCTGCCGGTGCTGTCCTTGCAAATGTCTACTCGCAGGGCTATTCAACTTCATTAGCAAGTGGGCCAAATAGAAAAATCACAGGGAGTTTGTGGGCCACACAATACTTTGTCAAGGAATCAATACAAATAACTCTTGCTTACATAGTGTTAATAGATACTAATACATTAAATGAACTAGTCAAGTGCATCCCTTTTTTTTTACTTTAATTGTACCAACATAAATCATTACAGAAAGCAACCAGTCCATAAAAAAGTAGGAAAGCTTCGGNCGAGACACTCACCCCAAATGTGCTCCTGTGGGGATGTCCACAGTATTGAGTATGGAAGTCGCTTTCGTAAAAGCTCTAAACAAGTAATTAATGTCATGCAATGAAATATGTTACTGTAGGAGCAGGAAGCCTAAACACGTGACATCAGCAATGAGGCAGCTCAATTCCCATTTCAGTTGAGTCGCGAGAGCTAGCTGCAACACGTTTTCAATGAGAAAATCGAACCAATAGGTCGATTTTCAAAAAAGTCTTCCGGGAATCGGCCAAGAAATGTGTCCCTCCAACGAAACCGCTCGACCCGCTGGAGGCGCTGTATCCATTGCCGGGTCTGTAAGTAGCCGCTGTACTTTCCGCCACAAAAACACCAAAAGCAAGCGAAGAAGACCCTGAGCATGGCATAAGGCATAATCAAACAGCTGTAATTTTGCACTAACACGTATCATGGTCAGTAGCGTCTGGAGCACGAACGCAACCCTGTGATCCGCCATTGTTGTTGTTGTTGGCGAAGCGCATCAGCAATGACGCGGGGGTGAGCAGGAGAGGTGGGGAGAGGCGGGGCTATGGCGTCATCGATTCAGGAAAAGATCGTATAGGGCGTACACACGGAGCCGCAAGCGTGTCGTCTCCAGACTTGCCCACTTTGGGAGCCGGTTTAAACGTTTATCGGTTTCGGAGGCTCCGAAGCCGCGGCTCCGTTTCGGCTTTGTGTGGACGAACTGTCTATAAGATAAAGAACTTTAGCGGATAAAACTGAAATCGTCTCCGTGTGGCCTTAGAAGGACCAAAACAGTCAACAGAAAAAATGTCAGCGCAAGCTAACCTGTCATCCGCACCGACATGTAACAGGTGACTAATATACACAAACCACACCCATGTGACGATTACCGGAAGTGCTCAACAAATACAAATAAAAGGAACATAAACAAATAATAAACTCAGGCTAAGTAGCGTTTTGGCTCCAACAAGCAATGTAATTTTACCGGTCAGACTGCTGGGATTGAGCACCACCTCACGCCCTCCTCCTCCTCCTCCTCCTCCTCCTCCTCCTCGGCGGGCTCGGTCCTGCCACGACAGAACACCCAGGATGTGTCGGTCATCCTCCATCAACCACACCTGAAGACGAAACAGAAAGACAGTCTCACCTCCTCGTTAATAGAGTTCCCTAGTCTCACCTCCTCGTTAATAGAGTTCCCTAGCCTCACCTCCTCGTTAATAGAGTTCCCTAGTCTCACCTCCTCGTTAATAGAGTTCCCTAGTCTCACCTCCTCGTTAATAGAGTTCCCTAGCCTCACCTCCTCGTTAATAGAGTTCCCTAGTCTCACCTCCTCGTTAGTAAAGCCTCACCTCCTCGCTAATAAAGCCTCACCTCCTCGTTTATAACTCCTCGTTAATAAAGCCTCACCTCCTCGTTAGTAAAGCCTCACCTCCTCGTTAGTAAAGCCTCACTCCTCGTTAACAAAGCCTCACCTCCTCTTTAGTAAAGCCTCACCTCCTCGTTAGTAAAGCCTCACCTCCTCTTTAGTAAAGCCTCACCTCCTCTTTAGTAAAGCCTCACCTCCTCGTTAACAAAGCCTCACCTCCTCTTTAGTACAGCCTCACCTCCTTGTTTATAACTCCTCGTTAATAAAGTCTCGCCTCCTCGTTAGTAAAGCTTCACCTCCTCGTTAGTAAAGCCTCCCCTCCTCAGTAAAGCCTCACCTCCTCGTTAGTCAAGCCTCCCCTCCTCAGTAAAGCCTCACCTCCTCGTCGGGGACGTTGGTCTCGTGGCGGCAGAACGGACAGCTGATGACGGACGGCGAAGACTCTCCTGAAGATCAATCAGAATCATCAACGTTATCTTATTGCTTCATTAGAATGCTGCTATCTCATTGGTTCATTAGAATGCTGCTATCTCATTGGTTCATTAGTACAGTGCCATCTCACTAAAGGACCTGAAGGGAACTCACCCATGTCGACCATCTTCTTCAGACACTTGGCACAGACTCGGTGCAGGCAGCCCAGAACTTTGGGTTTACGGCTGCGAGTGTCGTAGCGGTTGTAGCAGATTTTACACTCCAGCTCCTCCAGAGTGTAAACCAGAGACTGAGCCCAGGTCTGCACCTGAAGAGGAGTCATTATAATAATACCGTTATTCATAAAGCGCTACACACACACAAATAAAGAAGACAACAAGTAAAGTTAGGGTTTAAAGAAGTGAATTTAATATGTTTCCTTCTCAGGGAAATCTAACCTTGGCTTCCATCTCCCGGCCAGGCTCCGCCTCCTTCAGCAGGCTCATTCCTATTGGCTGTTGTTTTCACCTGAACCAGGAAGCTGGGCGGTGGTGGGCGAGGCTTCACTCAGCCTGTCAGCTGACTGGAGACAAAAAGGGAAATTATTTAAAGGTGGGGTAGGTAAGTTTCAGAAACCGGCTCGAGTGCACTAAAATTTGAAAGTACACAGCCAAAAAGAATCCGCCCCTTCCTTCAGACTTCCTTACAGAGCACCTCCTCCGCGAGAGCAGGCTGCAGTAACATTACATATCAGGCAAAGCTAAACACATCTAGGTTAGCAATACTACTCAGCCAAAGCAACTCCGATATTGACTCTGGTTTCCACAGATGACTATTTTTTTAATGGTATTTTTTTGTCAAAGCACTTCAGATATTCATTGCTATCGGGATGTTAAGAGCATTCCATCGAATATAACAAAAAGTGTATCTCGAGCCGGTTTCTCAAACTAACTACCCCACCTTTAAATCATAATATAATGTATAACTCTTCTGAATTACACTAAGAACCGTGAGCAAACTCTTTCACAACAAGCACCAGGAGCTGTGTTAGCTAGATGTGTGTAGCACGCTGGTTGTGTGTTAGCATGCTATATGTGCGTTAGCACGCTGGGTGTGTGTTAGCATGCTGGATGTGTGTTAGCATGCTAGATGTGTGTTTTACACGCTAGATGTGTGTTAGCATGCTAGATGTGTGTTAGCATGCTAGATGTGTGTTTTACTAGCTAGATGTGTGTTAGCATGCTAGATGTGTGTAGCACGCTGGTTGTGTGTTAGCATGCTACATGTGAGTTAGCATCCTGGATGTGTTAGCATGCTAGATGCGTGTTAGCACGCTGGATGCATGTTTTACATGCTAGATGTGTTAGCATGCTAGATGTGTGTTTTACATGCTAGATGTGTGTTAACTTAGCATGCTAGTTATGTGTTAGCATGTTGGATGTGTGTTTTATATGCTAAATGTGTGTTAGCATGCTGGATGTGTGTTAGCATGCTAGATGCGTGTTAGCAAGCAGCTGGATGTCCGTTGATGTTTGTCTGATTGGTTGGTACTACCTGACTTCAGATCAGCTGATCAATCCGGCAGTCCAAGAGTACGCCAACTGCACAGACAGACAGACACACACACACACACACACACACACACACACACACACACACACACACACACACAGA